TACTAAACAGCCCTAAATCAATTAACATGTAAAAATGGAACAAAAACAAAACCAATTAACATTAATTGATAAAGATTCTATATTTAAAAGAAAATTGTACCTGATTAGCGCAGCCGGCACCCAAACCTAGTAACATCCAACCAACAATGAGCATCAAGACAGCTTTGGCGAAGGCGTTGAGGAGGGCATTGGCGCCGAAATGTAGTCCTCGAAACATCGTTGTGGAAGACGCCACTACAGATGAAAGAAGAGCCGCCAAATACAACGACGATGTAAACAAAGTGTCTGGCTGTCGAACTTGCAATACCGATGATTCTTTTTGTAAACGGCGGGAAAGAACTCCTTCAGAAGTGAATCCATTGATATAACTCCACCTACAAGCCATACCCAAGAACGAATTCTTGAGAAAAAAAAATTATTTAATTTCCTAAAAAAAAAAATCATAAGAAATTACTTCCTAACTTCCCTATTATTAATTAAGCTATGACTTTTTAGAGCTAAAAAATATTTAATTATGTACCTGAAATGCGGAGATCATAACCGAAGATCACACCACCGGAGGCGGCAATAATGCATGTTATAAAAACCTTGAAAGTGAGGTTACCGTGGTAATCTTTCCCACCGGAAGTGATAGCTTCTACTGCCATCTTTTGCTAAGAATTAGTAATGAGAAAACTGAAAGATATATGTTTGCAAATGGGGAAGATGGTTGATAGGATAAAAAGTTTGTGTGGAGTAAATAAGCTTGTATGTAGTGGGTTTTTTTTTTTTTTTTTGGATAAAATATGAAATTTATTATCCATAAACTGATTGTATAGTAAGCAGCAAATTAGCTGCTACAAAGAATATATTCTCCCAAACAAACTAGCAAAAACTGCACTAATCTATTCCTTCACGACATCTTCCAGCCCCCATTGCTTAGCAATATCCATAGGCAAGGGAGAAGACTTTGGTCGAGCAAATCCCAGGATTTTGCACCTTACATCAAATTGAACTTCATAGACAATCTCACCATTAGCTCTAAAATGTTTTTGGTGGGTCCTCCTATTTCTTTCCCTCCATGTGTGGTACACTACTGCATTCCATGCTAACTTAACAAGAGTATTCTACAAGGACTTTCTACTAACTTTTTTCCCCATCCAATGCAATAAACCCTGCCATGAATTAGTTAGGGGAATGCCTGCCATAGCATTAAGTGTTTTCCAGATCTTCTGTGTATAGCTACACTTAAAGAACAAGTGCTCACTTGTCTCTGGCTCACTATTACATAGAACACAATTGCCAACAATGGTAGGAGTCCACTTTTTTTGCTAGGCTTTAGTGGTTAGCCTGTTGAGAATAGCTAGCCAACTAATGAAGCTATATTTATGTATCGCTTGAGAGAACCATATCAATCTATGCCACACCTTCCTAGTCTTCTTCCTCCTTAACCAATTCCAAGTCTACCCAGTCTTGAAATTTCCAGAATTTGAAGGTTTCCATATCACCGTGTCTTTCTCACCTTCTTTGGGGAACATGTCAAAAAGGTGCATCTGGATTTGAACTAATTGAGGAGATCTCGCAAGAGGCCACTACTAGAAATTCCCACTAATCACACTTGCTAGCTTTGCTTGAAATGGGATTCTTGCATCCTTAACAATGTTACTGCCATATGCGTCAATTAATGGCCCATAAGGGTGCTAATAATCATGCCAAATGTAAATATTTGTGCCATCACCTGGGATGTGTTGGATAAGTCCCTTCGCTATATGCCTAAGCTTGAGGATTTTCCTCCACCCTCAAGATGCATCAGTTGGTATGTTGAGTGTCCAAAAGCTTCTACCCTTGATAAGGTATTCATGAACCCATGGTACCTAAATTGATCCTGCCTTAGAAAATAGTAGCCAAATATGCTTGAGAATACACATTTGGTTCCATAAGACTAGGCTCTTGAGACCTAGACCACCTTCTTGTTTTGGAAAACAGACGATAAGCCAATTTACCTTAGCCCCACAAGCACTTTGAGTGGTATTATTCCATAAGAAGGCATTGCAAATCTTTTTTATCTCTTTTATAATTGCCTTGGGCAAAATGAATATAAAGCACCAGAAATTAGTGACGCTTTGTACCATTGAAGTGATTAGTTGCAATCTCCCAACAAAAGACATGTGCTTTGTTGCCTAGGATGTCATTCTATGTGTAATCTTTGCAATTAAAGGCCATAAATCCTTTTGTGATAGCTTTCCTATAATCAATGGAACCCCAAGGTAACGAACTAATAGAGAACCAATTTTAAACCCAAATTTCTCAGTAAGGTGCTTAATGTGTACATCATGCAGTCCACAACAAAATAACTCAGACTTGGCATAGTTGACCCGTAGCCCAAATAATGTATAAAATTGCTTTAATACATCATCTATAGCATCAAGTGAGACTATACGCCCATTAGTAAAAACTATCAAGTCATCTGCAAAACACAAATGCGTAAGCTACACTTTCTCACATTTAGGGTGGTAGGCAAATTTCCCTTCAATGGCAACTTGATTAAGCATTCTTGAAAGCACTTCTATACAGACCACAAAAATGTAAGGAGATAAAGGATCTCCTTACCTAACACCTTTTTTCCCTAGAAAATTGCCACACAGATTGAGTTAAAAGCAATTGAAAACATAGGAGTAGTGATGCAGATCTTGAGCAAGTTGACAAAATGAGTAGGGAATCCCAAGGATATCAAAACTTGAAAGATAGAGTCCCATAAGACAGAATCAAAGGCCTTCATCAAATCTATCTTTAATGCACATCGAGGGCTAAGCTGTGGCTTGTGGTAATGCTTTACAACTTCCTGGGCAAGTAGGACATTTTCCACCATTAGTCTCCCTCCCACAAAAGCACATTGATTCTTGCTAATAAAGAGGGGAAGAGTTTGTTTGAGTCTGTTAGCCAGGGTTTTTGTTATGAGCTTGTACAATATATTACAACAAGCTATGGGTCTGAACTCTGTCATCTTCACTAGGTTCGGAGCCTTCGGCACACTAGAGAAATGATGGTGGAGTTCATCTCTCTTAATATCTTTCTAGAGCTGAAAAATTCCTAAATAGCTTTAGTGACTAGATCACCCACTACAGGCCAAGCTGCTTTATAAATTTTATATATTTTTATTAATTTTAGTTAATTTTATATATTTTTCAAATAATAAAAATATATAGTTATAATACAACATTAACAAACAAAACTTTAATATCACTGGCAAAAGGAAAGGCCAATGGTTGGATTGAGTATTAATGTCATTTCGATTCTGTTTTGGTTCTGCTATCCATGTCCGACTTGCAACTCTGGGCCCAGTCACAGTCACCAAGTTACAGAAATTAGTACTGTATTCTTGTATAATGTTTGTCTTTCCTGTAAAAAACCAGGAAGTCCAATGATTGTCTTCGTAAATTAGTTAATCAAAACATCGAATGAATTTCGAATTTTTTTTTTTATAAAAAGAACATCAAAATAAACATTGTTTCTAGACTAGCAAAAAACTATCACATCAAAACAATAAAAAAGAGAGAGTAACAAATAAAACGTGGCCAACATTGATGATTCAATGAACGATATTTTAATTTTATCATTATTAATATAATATTTTAAGTTGATAATATTGATCTGTATTCTATGTAATAATAACTATAAAGAAGAAGTAATTAGAAAAATGTGAACCAATAATCATGATTCAATCAATGAATAATTATTTTTTATTTTATTAGCGAGAATAATAAATTTTAAGTTGATAATATTGACCTATCTTATACACACAAAAAATTATAATTTGACAATAAAAACAACCTGAAATCACAACAAAAAGCATGCCTAACCCAACATATTATATTTCTTTTCTTTAAAAAAAAGAAGAAGAAGAAGAAGAAGATTAATGGTGTGGGTAGTCTACCCAAGTTAAATTACAGCACACGGTTAGGATTAATGGAGACTTACGTATCACCTATTGATGAATAATCACGCGGAAATATTGCCTATTTTCAAAAAAAAGAATCATGCCGAAATGATAAAAGGGAGACTCACTTAAGAACAGACAATTGAAGCCTCCATTTAATCTGTTTTTAATCCTGTATTTGACGACAAATACTATAATATTACTATAGTAATTACTAGTAAATTATATTATAATTAAGATAAAATATCAAAATCGATGGACATAGTGTTGAATAGATTAGAGTCTTACCAAAAAAAAAAGAAAAAAAAGATTAGAGACTGAGGCACTGAGCCAACTACACGTGGGCCCATTTTTGTTCATTTTAAAAAAGTAGGGGAAAAAAAAGTACACTTATTTTTATTTCTTTTATTAATCTTTTAGAGAGGGAAAAACGCACGTGCTATATTCCCTTTGGAATTGTAGTAGACTAGTAGCCGACTTTCTTCCGATTTTCACACGTGATAAAAATCACTTGTGGATGCCACGTTCGAGCTCCGTCTTATGTAGAAATCTAGGGGTTGTGGATATGGGAATACAAATTTTATTTAATTCGGTTGATATATTTAAATTTTTTTATATAATTAAGTATGACATTTAAAAATATTAATTTATAAATTAATTTTAATTTATTAATTTATTAATTTTTAATTAATTAATTTAATTTTTTAAATATAAATTTTAGAAAAAAATTTATCATATTGTATAAATAATAATTAAAATTTTTTATTAAATAAAAATATTTGATAAGAATTTCATAAAAAGATTTTCAATTATTATTCATATTAGTTGTTAAATTTTAGTATGTAATTATATATGTACAAAAAATTTAAAAATCAAAGTAAATTTACTATGAATAACCAAAAGAAAAAAATAATAAATATAAATTATTAATTATTTTTAATTATTAAAAAGGATGAAATTAATATTTTTAAATATTATTTTTGTGTAACATTAATCAATTTATATGTTTTTTTTGGTAGAATTAATCAATTAATATGTAACTCCCTAAACTTTAGTTTTTAATTTTAACTTAAGTGGGGTTCACAAGTAATTTAGTCCTACCTAACTACTTAAGCTTCGGACTATCCCAGGTTAGGAATGTCTAACTGGCATAACATGTTATCTCCGTGTTCAGAACGTAGCCACGTGTCCCACTCGGACTCCGAAACCAGAAAGTTAATTCCCACCTTCAACTCTTCAACTCTTCACTCTGACTCCCCTAAACCTATAAGAAACCCACTTTCCACTGCTTGAGAGTTGAAAGCAGCCAAAGGGGAGAACAGATCAGAGCAGAGCTTGGTGATTTAAAACAATTAACCAATTTAATGGAGATGAATAGCATCTTCTCTGACCTGTTTGCGTTTGGATCGGGATCAACGTCGGCGGACAAGCGAGAGACTTCGACTTCATCTGACGGAGGCACTGAGCGGGGAGCTTCTCACTCTGACGAGGAAGTTCATCTGCTGGCCACGAGCAGACCGAAGAAACGTGCTGGACGGAAAGTGTTCAAAGAGACTCGGCATCCCATTTTCAGAGGCGTCCGGTGGAGGAACGGAGACAAATGGGTGTGCGAATTGCGGGAGCCTCACAAAAAGGCTCGCATTTGGCTTGGAACCTATCCTACACCAGAGATGGCTGCGCGAGCACATGACGTGGCTGCGTTGGCGTTCAGGGGAAAGGGTGCCTGCCTCAATTTCGCCGATTCTGCTTGGAGGTTGCCTGTTCCGGCTTCAATGTCGGCTGTGGATATCAGGAGTGCTGCAACTGAGGCGGCGGCAATGTTCAGGCCTCAACAAGTTGAAGCAAAACAGGATGAGGGCAGTGATTCGACGCAGGAAAGCCGTAAGGCAGGCGAGGGTGAAGTAATTTCTAGCTATGACTATGATGCAAAAAGTGAGAAAACATGGGATGCAAATATGCGTTGGTCGGAGTTCGTGGATGAAGAAGTGATTTTCGATATGCCAGGCTTGCTTGTTGACATGGCTCAAGGGCTTTTGCTGTCTCCACCTCGTTGTGATTCTGTTAGCAGGGATGTCGAGGCTGAAACTGAGGTGTCATTATGGAATTTTCCATTTTGATGCAATTGGAATTAGCAAATTCATTCCTTCATTCATTTTACATGTAACTTGCATATAGATTCTTATGATGACTCTGAGTTTGGAGTCTGGGATATTATTTACTTTTTTTTTTTTTTTTTTTTTGAATAGACAAGGGTGGATTCGAACCCACCACGAGGAGGGACAATGCACCTCCAAGATAGGCCGAAGGCTACTTGACCCAAAGGGTTAGATGTATACATTATTTGATCATTGTATACATTATTTGATATGGCTAAATATTTCCATGCCAACATACATATGATTAACTCAACATACATAGCTAGCTAAGAGTAGCAAAAACGTCCAGTTGCTAGCTCTAGAAATTTCCAAGTATACACGATTAAGTCATTGAAGTTGGATAACATGTACTGATATTAGCTGACATAATATGTGGTCCAGCTTCATTGAATTTCTTATATAAGAAGAGTTGAATCGATAAGGTTGACATATATGTATACATGTGGTTGAAAGATCATCCCCACAGCCCACGGTATTTTCCTGTTGGAAGTTTTCCAGCAGCCTAATGCTAGACACGGCAGCACACATTGAGAGCCGTTTCTTTCCCTGATTAATTGTTCACGTTAATCTGCTCATGTGGGTTGGCGGTAAGCTTTACGTACGAATAGAGAGCTTGCTTTTAAGGTGATTGGTGTGGTACTGACGCAAAAGAGCCAAATTAAGTGGCCAATTTGGTTCTTCGCAGTTCAGCCGTGTGGTTAGAAATCTATGTACACCAAAGAGGAAGCAATTTCAGTTTACACGGGTTGCTGTCGTTCCGATCGGTACGTTTCTTAATTTTACCTTGTGTGATCCACACCAGTCCACAAGTCTCAAGCTACTAAGTTATTTGCAAGAAAATATCTCAAGGTTAATTCTTGCCTAGTTCCGGTGGGAACATGATTAATTGACTACCTAATAAAGTTCGAGGATACTTTATCCCCACGCAACTTTTTTATTTTAGAATATTCAAATTTTATAAAGTCAAATGATGTGATTAAATATTTCATATAAAGTTATTGAAATATAAAATGCCTGTATGAATCAATATTAAAATATTTTTTTCTTTATAAAAGACATGATTTCATGAATTAGCATTAAAATGTTACTTCTTTTCTCATTTTTATTTATTTGTCTGCTTCGATTTTTGTGTATATAATTTTATGTAATATTTTTATATATTATAGTAATAATAATTAAAAAAATTTATTAAATGAAAATATTCAACAACTATTTAAGTTATTTGGTAAAAAAATATCTCAATTCATGCTAAGTTCAAGCAAGGAGGAGTTCTAATCCACACACAGCCTAGTTATACTAGAATACTCAAATTTTGTAGGGTCAGAGGGTATAATCAAATATATCATATATACTCAATGAAATATAAATTAAAAGCACCTATGTATAACCATTAAAATTTTTTTTCCTTTATAGAAAATCATGTGAATTTATAAATTAGTATTAATATGTTATTTCTCCTTTTGTTTTTATTTATTTATCTTTATATAATGCTTTTATATTATATACTAATGACAATTGAAAATTTTTTATTGTTAAAATTCGACGTAATTTGATTTTAAATTAAATTAATTAAGATTTAACATAATTATTAAATATCAATAAATTAGTAAAAAAATAAAAATAAAAAAAAGAAGAAAGACAGACGGAGATGGTCCATCCTTCTTCTGATTTCTCGAGGTCCACAACGGGTCTCTTACCGATGGGTTTTTTGTTTGGTGAATGGTCTCTTTTAGACTGTTACCGATGTTACTCCCCCTATGTCCCTAGAAAACTGTTACTATTTTTTTTAATAATTAAAATTTATAAATAAGTTACATATTTACTTATGAGTCTTCTGTTAAGACAGTTTTTTGTTTACCTATATTATATTATATTGTATTTTAAAATTTAAATGGTCACAATTATCAATTACGAACAAATCAAAATAAAAAATTAAAATTGATAACTTATTTTGGGTGTAAATTATTAAATCTACCACCTAAAACTTTAAACTTATAAAATTTTTAAATTTTATTTTAAGATTTTTAATGTTTTCAATATCGAAAACAAAAAAATTTAAAATTACAACTATATCATATAAAGTTGATAGAAAATGATAATTAATTTGAAAAAAATTTAATTAAAAAGACATTAGTACTTAGTGAGTAGTAGTAATGGTTGAAACCTGACCCATGACATACAATTAAATTGCAATTCAAACACCACACCAATTCTCCATTAAAATAAAAAAATTAATATCTAGAATTATGATATTAAAAAATAAAAATATGTAATATCACAAGTGTATATGTACTCAAAACTTATAACACTTTGGCATTAAAATGAGTCTAACCAAACTTCATATTCAAAACTTGAAACCCTTCCTGGCCGAGCCAGCAAAAAGCATCCAAAACTCCATGTTTTCCACCGAGAAAATTAAGGAAATTGATGCTACTAAAGGATGACCTTAGAAATCATTTGAGTC